AAATCAAAACAAGAACCCAATAGCGCATTCAACGGATGCGTTTGTATATACCATCACCATTTGCTTACATGACGTTTCTGCAGTAAGGAGATGCATATCCCCCAGGCGCGGTTGTTTGAAGTACAGCAAGAAAGGAAACCACAGAACAAAACAGAAAGGAATAGAGACCGATCAGGCTTGTCTAGGCGGACACGCTCCAGACTTCTGTTCGGTAAGTGATCGGTTCGAATCTCTGCCAGGATACAGGCTATTATGAGTCAGGTTTCCAAGCAAATTCTGGGCTAGTATCTGAAATTAACTACTTGCTTACAAACCTTTTCCAGCTTACCAATTCTATATCCATTTTGCCATTCGATGTTATATAGGGCGTAGTCTAGATGTAGAAAGAGCAGCAAAATAATCCAATAATGAAAAGAAAAATAAAATGGGAAGGGGAAATTGGTAAGAATGTTCGAGTCCCTATGAGGTCATTGGATATTTTCAATTTATCTAATCCTTCCAGCCGCATTATGGCCCTAGGGTGGACTCAGCCTCTAACAGAAATGAGTACCAGGAATATTCCTGAGGGTTAAGAGCGGCCGGTGCGTAAGGTTGACAGTCTCAGCGCCATCTGTGAGCCGATTGTCTAGATAGTGTGGGACCCTCAACTTCTGGCAACCCTATGGGCCTCCACGGCCTCTTACAGGGATAACTTTACTTTTTTTTACATGTCCATTAATTTTTTTAAGTTTATTATTTAACTACGTCATAGCGCCGATAACAGCAACTTTGTCCAACACAGATCCCACATGACGTAGCGTGGGTTCGAAACCGGGCCGTTTCGGTCACTGTTAAATATAACGGATGTTTATATTAGTGATAATATAGTGTGTAGTTTCAGACTTAAAAAATTACTGCGAATAAAGACAAACTACTTAGAGAAAAAAGAAAACCTGGATTATATTAACAATTTTGTCGATAATCGACAGCGACCATCTCGTGATCGGTTTATGCATTAGGAGCAGTGTTACATGATTCTATGCGCGTTCGCAAGGGAAAGTTGCGAAAATTGACCTATTAACTTCTACGCTGCCCTCCGTCCATCCGTCATATCGCATATCTCGAAAACCGTTGAAAGGATTTTAATGAAATTTGGTATTTCGAAGGTGCAAATATGATTTATTGCTACGTTCCAATTTTCCTCAAGTTCGAAAAAATATATAAAAGGCAGCCGGTCTCTAGGCTGAGATGAGAGCTAACGCGAAGCAGGTGTGTTAACCTCTCGATCGTAAGGTCCAGGGCCGAGACATATGCTAAACATATCCCTTGACTGCGCATTAGCTTCGCGCCTGCGCAAGAAAGATGTTTTGCCGCCCATCGCCTCAAGCTTTTCCATCTCTTCATATCTGTAAGCCTATGCCCATTAGCTTTCCTTTTCCAACATCCAAGAAGTGTTTTTTTTTTTGTAGATAATTATAGCATCACTTGTTGGTACCGTTGAGTTAAAGCACGTAATATTTTACCGAGGGCCACAGATTTCAAAAGACGTCAATTCTGTAATGGTGATGATGAAACTGCTATTCTGTGCAGGCTCGTGTCTTTCCAACGTTCCTATGTCGTGATCTAACTTCACATTCGTAACTGCTCTGCGTATGACGAGATCACAACGGCGTAAACCGCGATATATATTGACAAGATATGGAACAGCTCGGTCGGTACAGCAGCTGGATACGGGTTTGGACGACAGGGGCTCGATTCCCTGTAGTAGTAAGAGATTTGTTTTCCTTCCACACGGAGTCCAGGCCGGTCCTAGAGCAATTCCAGTTTCCTTTCGAATGGGTACCGGGGATAAAGCCGCCTGGACATGAAGCTGATCAGTCACTTTCATCTAACGGCGAGGGCAAGCATAGTGGTGGTATACCTTTACTCTCCCCTACATCAACATAACTTTGTTCTTAATTAATTAAGGGCAGGGATAATTTTACCTTCATTGTAGCTATTACTCTTAGGCCCTTTGGAAATGTTTCCTTTCTGTTAGTCACGCATCTTCGCCAGAGGACGTGTTAGGATGAGTCGTGCGAAAATAATGAAATTCTACAGTCGTCAGTAAAACTGCGTTACGAGTTAAGTATCCTGAGGTTATGGAAAAACTCTTTATGTTGTTAATGCTATATGAGGCTGTTTCGAGGTTGGTCTGGACTTAATTTCTTTAAGGGAAGAATGTGGTTGCGCCATAGCTCAAGCGGTTAGTCGCTGGCTTCCCATCGCGACGGCCCGGGTTCGATCCCAGGTCTGGTTAAGTGGGATTTATGGTGAACAAAGTGGCGCTGGGGCAGGTTTTCTCCGAGTACTTCGGTTTCCCCTGCCATTCTTCATTCCACCAATTGCTCCACAATCACCCTCACCTATCATCTGGGGCTGGTACAATAGGCCAGAAGTGGCCGCAGTTCAAGGGACTTAGTCCCACCCCACTAGCAATAAAAAATATAAGGGAAAAATGTAGGTACCAGAATATATAAACTCTCAGTCCCTTTTCAAGGTATTTTCGCTTTACAATGACACATTTATTTCCATCGTCCTGTAAAGTTACTAATACGAGCAACATAAAAATGTTATGCTGACTGCGAAGACAATTCAAGACACATCGTGTTTATGTATATTTGCCTTACCCCTTAACGCACTGATAACTACATGTACCACAAACTTCAAGACTGAAGAAACTGCTTATTGGGTTCGTATTAATCTCAGAATGAACAACGATTATATCCATAAACGGTATTAACGGCATGTAGCACGCATGGGGGAGAAGAAAAATGGATATAGGATATTGGTGGGAAAGCCAGAAGAATGGGGACCAATAGGAAGGTCTAGACTTAGGTGGGACGATAATATTAAAATGAATATTAGAGAGATTATGATGGGACGAAATGGACTGGATTGATGTGTCTCAGGATGGGGACAGGTGGAGGGCTTTTGTGAACACGGCAATGAACCTTCGGGTTCCATAAAATGCTAGGAAATTCTTGGGTAGCTTTGCGACCGGCGGCTTCTAAAGAAGGGCTCAGCTCCGTGGAGTTACATGTAGTTAGTTAGTTATATAAATTAATTTCATATTTAAATTCTGTTGATAACATTGGTCTAATGAGTTCTGACAGTTTTTTATATTTGGAATATGGACAGTGTCAGTGAGGAACCGGGATAGCGCTGGGCAGCCGAGGGGTTGGAGTTCCAGCCCCGGTAGAGGCAAGAATTTTCTCCTCTCCACAGCGTCCAGACAGATTCCGGGCCCCACCCAGCCTATCTAATGGTTACCGAGGGAGTTTTCCCCGGTGGTAAAGCTACCGGAGCGTGAAGCTGACCACTCCTTTCCAACTAGTTCCAAGGTCAACAATACATGCATGGATCTATACATCCACTCCTCCATACATCTTCATTGAGTTGTGCTTAATTAGTTAAGCACATGCACAACATTATTTATAGGGTGTATAGAAAACGATATTTTCATACAGCTGGAGTATAGGTTGTCACAGTGGCATGTGAAGTCGTGTTGTCCGGCATTTCATCGACGTTTCGGAGGAACGCCGATGAAATTCTACCATACTACACGGCGTCACGTCCCACGAGACATGACAGTACTCTTCAGCTATTACTCCGTTGAGCCAAAGGTCGGTAGGGTGGTACAGGTTGTTGAGAAAGTCTGGCCCAGCAGACATGACGCGTCGTGCTGGCTGGCACAATCGTATCAACACAGACGAATCGCATTCAGGTGGGAATGGAACAGTCATTATTGTTCTGGGCGTTCCCTCTGAAACTTACGAATCCTTTGTGAGACGTTACTGTCTGGTAGCAGTGCCCCAAGGTGCAACACGACCACCACACAAAGCCCACATTTAGACACGATTTTGAGCCACTTTAATTCATCTCAGCTTCTATGAGATTCCTTTCAGTGCTCTGAACCGGGATAGCTCAGTCATTATAGTGAAGGGCTGGACGGACGTGGTTCGATTCCCAGCGTGGACATTAGATTTAGGGTCGAGACCGGCTTTCGAGCACACCCAATTTCCAGTACAATGAATACTGGAGGTTATCTCGGTGAGAATAAAGCGATAGGAGCGTGAAGCTAGCAACTCACCTGCACCTACTGCTGAGGTAAAGAATGGTGGAGCTTAACCTCCACTCCCCCATACACGGTGGTTCTTAAAGCTTGCTGACTAATTCGGTTGGATCTTCCGCCAAACGCTGTCACTAGGGTTAATTAATTGAATATGGAGAATTTACCTTACCTTACTCTCTAAATATTATCCAACCAATTCTTTCTTGGTTTTCTAAATGAACGTTTTCCAAGAGGATTGTCACCAAAATTTTGTACGCATTCGTCGTCCCGCTGCTCTTGCAGATTTCACCGACCTAACATTACGTCACATGCATGAGCAGAACTTTTATGTTGGTGTAGGTCCACACAATAGACTTATCATATTTCTCACCCTCCCTGCCTTGAAGACGTATGGGGGTGTGGAGTTATATCTCCATACATTCTTAATCACGGCTCTAGATATAGGTGATTGGTCGCCACCCAGGTCGCTTTAGCATTTGTCTACAGGGACTGACGAAAAACGGGAAATCTCAGACAGAACAGGTTGTATCTCTGACGAGAATCGAACCGTGGACATCCAGAATACATGTCTAGAGCGTTACGTCCGGACCAATCATTTCGGCGGACAGCTTATTTCTTAAGCCTACATGTTATTGAAATTTCCCAGGAGATAAAGCGGCTGTGGCGTGAAGATGGCCGCTCACCTCCATCTAGTGCCGAGGTCAAGAATACGTGGGTTTATACGCCCATTCTCCCATACGCTTTAATGGCATAGTGCAGAGACAACTTTACCTTTAGATGTTGCGTGTTTCTATTAATTAATGTTACTTTGTAGCTTGGCCACACGCCCCGAATCATCTGAGGGAAATGAGACTTTATGAGTACTTCCCAGAACTTATTGTTTATAAAGAAGGTTGTATAAACTTACCCGGTAGAAATAGAATGAGTTGATTTCAGACGCATTGGGAGCATTTTGGGTGGTGTTCAATGCAGTCATGCCGTCGTACTCCATGTTCCCTCTCTGAGTCGACCAGTCTTCTGTTACTCTCTGTGAAACTTGTTACTCCTGAGGCCTAGAAAGAGATGCCACTCCGCGAAGCGAATTTCATTGTCTCACAAAAGCTTATTTCCATGTTGTGATACTTTAAAAGAAGCTGATGCGATTTCCTGCAGGAGACGTTTGATGTGGTCTTTGATTCCTTAGGAGTATTGTCTTGCACAGAGAGGATCTGACACACCTCAGAGTTGTTGAGCGTCACTGAAAAAGAAGAGAATTGTTATCATCAGTTGAGTTCAAATAAAAAGTAAGGTAAAGCTATCCCTGTAACAGGCCGTGGAGGCCCATAGGACTGTGAGACGTCGAGGCTCCCACATTTTCTATAGACTCTCGGCTGACAGGTGGCGGTGAGGTTACCAACCTTACGCGCCAACCGCCCTTTATCTCCCCAGGAAGATTCCTGAGACTCATGTCTGGTAGAGGCTGAGTCGACCCCAGAGCCATAGTGCGACTGGAAGGATTAGGTAAATTGAAAACTTCCAATAACCTCATCGGGAATCAAACTCGCGATCTTCCGGCTTGTAGCACAGTGGTTGATTTCAATCACAATCAGACATTATACGTATAAATTCTGCAAGTGTGACGCTCAGACAGTACGTGAGCATCTGTTAAACAGTGACGTAACGCGAAAATATGCGTGAGCAATGAAACTACGTGACAAAGACACCCATGAGATAATCAGAAGCGAACAACGAGCACGTTCAGTTGAGCAAATTAATTGCTAAGCCTCATGTCAGTGTCTCGTGGAGATTTGTATTGCTCTGAACAGGTGATACATACGAATGTACGATATTGTGGGTTTTATCGCCGTGTAGATCGGTTAGAAGTCTACCGACGTTTCGGAGTAACGTTTCATTTCTATCTTCAAGGTAGATGAGTAAGCCAAACAAGACAGAAATAATCACGGGGGCGTCAGTTATGTTTACCGACGGGTTACCTGATTTCATCCGAACTATACGGCATTACACTCAACAGCAGAGTGCTCTAAATACCGCTGTGAACACATAAAATACCAGGCAAATTATTTAATTTTCGTGGGATGCGGTGAGACTGAGTTCACTTGGTACGTCGGCCACTATTTGGCCTAATGCTAGATGAGTATGGAGCAGTTAGTGTAATGAGAATAGGCAGGGGAAACTGACACTGTAGGAAACCTGCCCCAGTGCCACTTTATCCATCACAAACCCCACATGACCTGACTTAGTATTGAAACCGGACCGCCGGGGAGGGACGGCGCGGCAGGGAGGGAGGTAGAGACAGGTGGTGGTTCTTAGGTTATGTTCATCAAGCAGACTTACAGCTTCAAGCATTCTTATTCTCGATGCTAGATGGAGGTGAGTGCTCAGCTTCACGCTCCGACCTCTTTGCCTCACAGGAGGAGGGCCCCCTGTAAAAGTAACGGTATAATTTTCCCTGTAATTACGTAATACCGCAATGAAGACTTATAAGGGAGTAAAGGTATAGCTCCACCATTTTGACCTCGGCATCAGATGGAGGTGAGTGGTTAGCTACAGGTCCCTACCGCTTTATCCTCTGGGAAAGAGCTCCGAGACGCTTTGGATAGGAGGCTGTGTGAGCCCCAAAGCCGGTCTGGACGCTGTACAGAAGAGGAGATGTCTGCCTGGAATTTAACGCAGGCCGTCCAGAACGCAGCCCACTGCTGTACCGACTGAGCTATCGGGGAGGAGCCACAGGTACCGAATAGGAGTGTGTGCCTAATTTGAGATGTTGTCCTGGAATTGGCCTGAGTGAAATTTGAGGTCACTATAGCTGATCTGACCGGTATCTGAAGCAGGGAACTCTCGAATAGGAAGCAGGCGTGTTGCCCAGTCTGCCAAGATGTTCCGCGTTGATTTGCGGTTCCCGTCTGCTGGACGTTATAATCTCCATAATCACCGGGAGAAAAATGGAGATTCCACCCACTGGATGTGCCTATCTGTAATTTGTATTCGTACCATGAGTCTTGTCAGATGGACAGACAGCTTGATGATGAATGAGATTAGCCACGTCACACCACTCTCGAAAGAGATGTGAAGATTCCATCCTCACGGCAGTCGTGATATACTTCGGACAGAGCGAGAAATGGTCGCTCCTCTTAACTTCAGTGAAACTGATAACTGATGTTTCGGGGCGACGGTCATAAATCGAGTACACGAAACGGTTAAATAGCACAGTTAATTCAGAGAAATGTGTTTTCATGTTGTAGTCATCAAGACATGCTCTTGCTAAGAGCGCAGTTCTGTAAGCACAAAGTATAAGATCCAAAATATATATTTGTTTAACAAAACCAACGTGTTTCGAGACCCATGGCTCATTATCAGTGGAATCAAAGAGTTGGTAAGGTAGAAATGATTTTTTTTTATTCGCTTAGTGGGGGGTGGAGTCCAGCTGGGCCCACTCGGCACGGGGGACACTGATTGTCCTATTGTACCTGCCCCGGGTGATTATGTTGATGGAGAATTTGATGGAATGAAGATTGACAGGAGAAACCGAAGTACTCAGAGAAAACCTTCCTCAGCGCCACTTTGTCCACCACAAATGCCACTTGACCAGACCCGGGATCGAACCCGGGCCACCGCGGAGGGAAGCCAGCGAGTAACCGCTTGAGCTACGGCGCGGCCATGGCTGTGGTTTTCACTCTTACCCTGCGTAGCCCAGAGTGACCTTCTGAAGAAGTGTAGTTGAGTTAGTTTTCTCTTATTAGAATTAAACATTCCGAAATCATCCTTTCGCCTGTTCTTTTATTAGAACAATGCATACTGTTTATTAGAAGCGGAAATATTTTTCTTACGTCTTTCGAAGTTCTCTCTCTCTCTCTCTTTTTTTTTGCAGAGGTTGTTGATTTCATGTGAGCTATATTTCAGGTGTGAACTCATCTCAGCTATTTAAAGCCTATTGTTCTAAAACTGAACCTGATCCTAGACAAAAAAAAAAGTTCTCCCTCCGCTGTTTATGATTTGCATTTCGTTTACAACAGGCGTAAGAGGCACTTCTGGTCTCAGAATGGATGTCTTAGATAATGTGTATTGCATATAGTATACTTTACACGTGCATCATGAAACCACAGTCTCTAAGTGGTTTGAAGAAAGCAGTCTTCTGGGATTTGGCACGGTGTATATGTGGTCTCTTCGCCTGCTGATTTCTTATATACTTCCTTCTACCCTGAAGATGGAGGCGACAGGTTCCTCCGAAACGTCGGTTAACACCACATATACACGGTAAATCCCAGAAGACTGCTTTCTTTATAGTTACCGCCGTGAAAACCTCAAACCTTACATGGTAAGTGGTTTACTGAAGAGTTCTATTCAGGCAACCGCTACTCAGCTTCTTAGAGGCTCCTAAGTTTTCGATCCTTGAAACGTTGAAAATTACGCTCTCACCTCCCGGGAACATATCTGAGGTTTACTTGTTCTCTTGGATATCTACAGCTCTTAAAAATTATCCTTTAATGCATAGTTAGTGCTGCATCTACCACTTGCTTCAGTATACATACATATTACATACAGAGGGGGAGGGGGGAGTTTCGTATAATTGTTATCAAGCATGAGACAGTTCATTAAACTTTGGTTGTATACTCTACACAAATGGAGAATATTGATTATATAATTACGGAAACATAAGCGTAACATCACCTTTGTTCAGTTATCTATAAGAACTGGGGGGAACGCGGTAGCGTAGTTGGTTGAGGCAGTATGCTACAAGCCGGAAGGTCGCGGGACCGAATTCCGATGAGGTTATTGGATTTTTCTTAATTTACCTAATCCTTCCAACCGCACTATGGTCCTGGGGTCGACTCAGCATCTAACAGAAATGAGCACAAGGAATATTCTTGGAATGTTCTTGGGGGTAAAGGGCGGCCGGCGCGTAGGGCTGACAACCTTACCGCCATCTATGAGCCGACTGTCTACAAAGTGTGGGAATCTCAACATCTCACAACCTTGTGGGTTTCCAAGGCCCGTTACAGGGATACCTTTACTTACTTTTACTTATCTATAAGCACTGTGGGGCACGAGATAGCGTAGTTCGTTGAGGCACTATGCTACAAGCCGGAAGATCGCGGGTTCGATTTCCGATGAGGACATTGGATTTTCAGTTGTCCTAATCATTCCAGCCGCACTATGGCCCTGCGGTCGACTCAGTCTCTAACAGAAATGAGTACCAGGAATCTTCCTGGGGGTAAAGGATGGCCGGCGCGTAAGGCTGACAACCTTACCGCCATCTTTGAGCCCATTGCCTCGATAGTGTGGTAGCCTCGACGTCTCACAATCCTATGGGCCTCCACGGCTGTTACGGTGGTAACTTTGGATATAACATGCGTGTTTCATGCTTCTGCACAATGTTTATGTGAAATACTCTTTCCGATATGTAGCGAGTTAAGCTCGGGATTAGTAGAGAAACTGCATGTAGGTCTTCTTCTTGTATAGTGTTCGTTATTATTTTTTATTATTGCTAGTGGGGTGGGACTAAGTCCCTTGTACTGCGGCCACTTCTGGCCTATTGTACCAGCCCCAGATGATAGGTGAGGGTGATTGTGGAGCAATTGGTGGAATGAAGATTGTAAGGGGAAACCGAAGTACTCGGAGAAAACCTGCCCCAGCGCCACTTTGTCCACCAGAAATTCCACTTAACTAGACCCGAGATCGAACCCGGGCCGCCGCGGTGGAAAGCCAGCGACTAACCGCTTGAGCTATGTCGCGGTCCCATAGTGTTCGTTAAGTTTGTCTTTTCTCAGGAAGAATTGGACTGTTAGCAAAATATCGTATCATAGGAAATCTTTTCAGCGTTTATGGTACTGTCTCATGCGTAAAGAAAGACGGAGCATATTAATAGGCGATCCGCGGCGTTACACACGCTCCTCAAACACATATGTATATATTTCGAATGGTGACTTGCTGCAACCAACATGTCTATGAGAAAATAATAATAACAAAAAGTGAAGCTATCCCTGTAACAGGCCATGGAGGCCCATAGGGTTGTGAGACGTCGAGATTCCCACATTTTCTCTAGACATTCGGCTCACTTATGGCGGTGAGGCCAGCCTTATACACCGGCCGCCTTTTAGCCCCAGGAAGATTCCTAGCATTAATTTCTGTTAAAGGCCGAGGTGACCCCAGGACATTATAAGTAATGCAAAATTTATTAAATTAACTAAACAAATTAATATAATAATTGTACGAGTCTTAAGGCATTGTTTCTGAAGAAGAGGCCATTTAACCCTTTAAAGAATGAGCATGGCATAGGAAAGCGGTATGCTTCTGGTCTTCGCCAGCACAGTCGTTCTTGGTGTCGGGCACAGCTGGGACACATGCCCACATTTCCATTCTTTCCAAGACCACTTAGGTGTTTTAAAATTTTGGACATGACAACTGAAATTTATGATAATAGAACAAAAATTCAGTTCGCACCTCACAGGAAACACATTACGCCTCCGCTAGGAAGACAAACACACAGCTACAGTGTGTGGGCAGAATGCAGAGCTCTGTATGTTAAAGCAGGAGGTATACATAGTAATCTGTCGGGCTCTGGGCATTACGTCTAATAGCAGATCCCGTTGCAGTTTACAAAGGGACATACTGACGAATTGCAGGGCTCATCAGCTGATGGTATGTACGGTATATGCGGAATGCTTGTTGTGGGATAAATTAGTTTCCTGCCTAACCACGTTTATCAGACGTTGTTTAACAATGAGCTCTGCATATCAGGCATTTGTAATGGGAATAAAACGATTACAGGGTGAACCTCCTTTGCTTTGTGGGCCATGTCGTCAGTGATAACACTACACAAAAAATTACAGTTTTTTCGATAACACGTGCAAGTGGCTGTAACACGCACAGTGTGTTTTGTTATCTTCTGTTTTATTCTTTTTATACAAAACAGATAATCGGCGGTACAGCCTATTATAAAATTTGATATAATAATAGTATTATTGAAATGTTCATTAAATTTTACTGACTAGAAAAAGCAATTATCTTATATTATGTAAGATTTGAGGCTTTCACGGCGTTGACTATGAAGAAAGCAGTCTTCTGGGATTTGGCACCGTGTATATGTGGTGTTAACCGACGTTTCGGAGGAACGTATCGCCTCCATCTTCAGGGTAGAAGAAAAAATATAAGAAATCTGCAAGCGAAGAGACGGTGAGAAAAGGTAAAGCAGTCTGCTTTTACCGATACGTTCCTCCGAAACGTCGGTTAACACCACATATACACGGTGCCAAATCCCAAGTGACTGTTTTCTTCATCTTATATTATGGTTAGAAGATACTGTTGTAGGAGCACTGAGACACAATTGCAGAAGTAGAGAGAAAGCGTTGATTTAGACAGAAATTAAATACACAAAACTGTGACATGGAAAATTGTGCAGTCAGATTTGGAATTATAA